TAATAATAATAATAATAATAATAATAATAATAATAATAATAATAATAATAATAATAATAATAATAATAATAATAATAATAATGAAAGTTTTGTGTAATGCGTTTATTAATACTATAGAAATTAAAAATTATAAAGTAAATAATATTTTATCATTTTTCTTTGACAAGTTTTAGTTTATTAGAAAAACTTTTTATAACAATAACTTTGCACAATGCGATTTTCAATATTATTAAGTGATAGTAAAATTTATGTAAAAGTTAATAATATAGGTATTTTTATATTATTAATTTTTAGTTTATTTCAAAAACTATTATCTTATTATACTTTTATGTGATGTAGTATATAATTATAATTAAGTAGAAGTCACATACAAAAGTTTATAATGAAATTTTTTTTTAATATTGGTTTATATAAAAAATTGAATTTAGTTATGAATAATTTGTTTACAATTATTGAGTAAAAGTAAAGAATATATAAAAGTTTATACTATTAATATTGTTTACTTAAACAAGCATTAGTCTTTTAAAAAAATTTTCGGTACAAATGATATTGATAATAAATTTCTTTTTAAATATTATTAGGTAAAACTTAAATATTATATAATTAAATAAGTTATAGTTTTGTAACTTTTATATAATAATAATAAATTTGTTTAGTGCCATTCATAAATTATTATTGAGTAGAAGTAAGAAATATATTAAGGTTATAATGTTATATTGTTTACGTAATGATTATTAGTTTATAGAAAAACTTTCGTTTAATAAAAATTATAATTTATGTTATTACAATAATTGAGAATAAATAGAACGAGAAATTTATTAAAGAATATTATTACAATATTAAAGTTTTAGTTTTAAATTTTTTTTAATAATAAAATTTAATAAGTATAAATAAAAGTTTTTTTTAGAGTAATAATAGTTAATAGTTTAAAAAAGTTTATATCAAAAAATACTTTTTATAAAACTTATTTATTATATTTTTGTTATAGGTTATTACGATTATTATAATTTTAGTCTCTTGTGTTTTTATTTATATTTACTAAAACTATAAGCTTTTATATACATAATAAAATAGTTCTTTTTGGTAAAAAGTTATATAAAGTTATTAAAATACAAAACTCTGTTAAGTTTGTATGACAGTAATTAGTTAAAAAGTTTCTATGAACTATAGAGTTTAGGAAATTTTTTTTATAATAATATTTTGTAAACTTATTATTATAAATAATGCAATAATCGAAAGTGAAAATCACATTTTTTTTTGTTGTTTTTAAGTGTTATAAGAAAAACTAATGTTTACATATTGGTAAATATTTTTTTCCATTATTATTATTTTAAATATAAGAAATATTTAAAAGTTAAAGTAATAAGTATTATTGAATGTTGTTTTTAAGTATCGCAAGAAAAGCTATTAAAGTTTATATATTTATAAATATTACATAATTTTTATTATAATTATAAAAATTATTCAAAAATTAAAGTAATAAATATTTTTGAATGTTGTTTTAAAGTATAATAAGAAACTAATAATATTTATAAAAAATTGTTTATGTTAATATAAAATATATACTATTATTAATAATGAAAGTAATATTATTTTCGAATGCTGTTTATTTTATGAAAATATAATTACATTTATAAAATATTTGATATCAATATGAAATCCTAACTGTTATTATTATAATAAATATAGTAATTATATAAAAAGTTATAAATTTTGTTTATTGTTTATATTAATATAAAAAGTATAACATTATTATTGTGAATATTTTTAGCTGCAGGTCATATTTTTTACAGCGTTTTTAACGAGTACAGCGACTTTTGTTTGGAATATTTTTTGGGTTCGTGTCTTCATTACGGACTGCAAGATTATAAAGTTTCTATTTATACCAATTTTAATTGGTCTATTTTTAAACTTATATTATGTGAATACTATAACAAACAAATTAAAACAATAATTATGATTGGATATCATATTTTCATGTTATTCTATTGGTCGTTTTTTAGTGTCTTTACTTTTTTGGGGACGTATTTCTACATTTAATTCGGATCGGTCTCGTTTCTGTTTGCGAAACCGTTTCTCGAAGGCTTTACCTTCAAAGTAAAATTTTATTTTTAATATTTTTTTTTTAATAAAGTAGTGAAGATCTTCTTTATTATTATAATAATATTCATTATTATTATTTTCGAAATAATAATTATATGCAATTATAACATATATGAACAGAAATGGCCTATAAAGCTTCCTTTAAAAACATGAGCTCTGTAACTTTTAGCAACTTAAGATACGCTGAATCTGCCCGTCAAGATTATATTGTTCCCATTTGTGTGCCGTTTTATAACAATTCGTTTGAATGCGTCTCGAGAATTCTGGCAGAAGAAGGCATTTTTCAACTTTTTAGAGGAGTTCTTCCTAGCATTTTCTTTACGACCATTTCTTTAGGCTTTTATTATTTTAGCTAAAAGAACTTTTACTTGAGATTATTATGTAAAAAATACAAAAAAAAAGTAAACTGTAAAAATTTAATTTTTATTAAGAATTTTTTTACTCTTTGGGGCACCTTTCTGGTTAATTATAATAAATCACGTGCCCACATCCCCTAATACGTTATGCCGTGTGCTAATATATCACGTTGTATTCACATGTTAATTTCTGTCCCACATTTTGTAATATCTCTTTCTCTTCTTGAAAATATCTATACTCTTTTTCTACGAAACAATAAATCTCCATTTTTCTTATTTTTTTTTCCCGTTAAAATACATTTAGAAAAGGTGAGTAGCACACCTAAATTTTTCCTTTATTTAAAGTCATAAGGAGTGTTTGATTTTTAACTATTCATTGTTTTACAGAACACGACGTTTTTTTTTATTGAAAAAAGATAGGTTTTAAGGTCATGCGGACTCTTAAAAGTTTAATACCTACCGGAAGTGCTTTAGTTATCGCTCATAACCAACATGCTGTTCGCTTTCTTTTTCAAAGAGCCATTTTTTCTTAAAAAAACTTGAGGGGTCATGGTAACAAAACTTATACTCAAAGCTTCGTATACTACAGAACCTCGAGTTTTTTTACAAACAATTTTACTAAATTTTTTATTGGTGGTTAACTTACTATTATAACAACGTTGACCATTACAAATTTAGGAAGAAAATAAAAGAAAATGAGATAAAGCGTATACATAGATGACATATATTAGTTTAGATTGCGCTTTTACCGCTCCATTTATTTATATAAAAAAAGATCCTTGACTACAGTTAGTAGGCTATTTGATTATCCATTAAGGTCATTCGTCTACGTAAAATTATAGGCTATATCGTGGATCATTTTATTCGCTTGCCAATATGTATAGTATAAAGCGTATTTGGCCATATAAATGTGTAAAACTCTCAACTAAATAAATTTAATTTTCCGTCGTTTTCAATTTAACCAATTTATATTAATATGAAGCATATATTAAACCGCCTTTGTAAATTATTTTGTTAATTAATTGAGAAAATAGAGATAGAATCGTTAGCAATTCAGTCTAAGCACAAAAAGGTAGAGTATATAAAAGCAGGAACAAATAAAATCCCAAGCAAAAGAGAGTAAACTAAATGTAATGAGAAATATATTTAATAAATAGTCAGTTAAGCTGTATTAATATTATTTCAGAAAAAATTGTTTATCTTCAATTTCCTGCATTAAATAATAAAGATTATGTTCACTTCATTAGTAATGTTTATAGGCAGCATTATTTTGATGATTGCCGGTTATTTGTGTAAAATATATTGCCATGCAAGGTAGAAGGTAGATAATTCGATTTGTATTTAATCTTTCGTTTATTTTTACACTACACCGCCATGTGAGGGGTGTTGAGATGATACGTTAACAGGTGTTTTCCTTCCTCTTAAAGAGGGCTCTTATGCTGTGGAGTATATATTACACGAAAGCTACCGTGCACTAAACTAGTCTCAAATGCAAAATAAAGGGATAAAAAAAAATTGAGTTAATTTATTAAACAACACTTCGTGCGTAAGTTGATATAATACATTAATTTGATAACATATTGCACTTCGTTTCGAGTCCGCCACATCATAAAAAATAAGTTTATTAACTGAAATTGCATGAATAGAAACAATATAATGATAGTATATTGTAACATATAAGTAAAGGGGCGCGACAGGACTTCCACTTTTAATACTAAACTTGTTACCTAAAGCTTTACACTGCAAAAAAATATCGTCATGTTCATAACAAGACTTCAAAAAACCGTTACAACTTTATAGATAATCACTTTTAAGTGTAGAGAATACACTGTATTAGACAATGTACTACTTTCTGTTTTTATTGTTTGCCGGCGATAAAAAATTCTACATCTCTTGGTACTCCACGTCTTCCCCCAGCCTACCCCATTCTGCAGTCGTCCGCAGTTATATTATGTACTGTAATTTAAGCTCTTACATCGGTTAATCGCTACAAATATTAAACAACTATAAAGATCGACAAGTTTTTATATAATTTTAAACAAGGGAATCATCGTTGCCAAGATTAAAAACTGCTTTACTAAATTTATCTTAAACTTTTAATTTGTTAAGGCACTTAAGCGTCGGTTTAAGAAGAGATGGTAGCCAAATCCCTCTTCATAATTAATAAAAAATTATAAATCATGTGTTCTTTATGATATTTTTTAACCAGAAAGATATCTGTAACAATTATATTTAGTATTATAAACTTAAATTAACCCAGAAATTTTCAACTTATACCGTCATTCATGCAGTTGATATATTCGCACGCCTGTATACTTAAACTTAGTAGTTTCTTTGAAAAACAGTTATTTTTTTCATATTGTAAAAAATTGTGATTTCTACTTTAATTATTTTTATTATTCCAAATACTAGAGAAAAAAACTACATTAAGTAGTTTTAAGGCTGGCATGGCTTTTTAAGTCCTCATGTGTATAACGTCGTGTTGCAAAAGATATGGAGCCATATTAGTTACTATTGAATTTTATTACCATTTTGCTGCTAATGAGTGTATTGAGTGGGAATCCCATTTATTTTAAGCACCGAAAATCACTTCCAATATTTTTTTCTCGAGAAAAAATTTTAAACTTTTTTAAAAATAATAAGACCTTCATTCTCGTGGGGGAAACCGGCAGCGGGAAGACAACTCAGCTTGTTCAGGTTGATGTTATTATAATTTTAATTTTAATATTAAAAAAAAAGTAATATAAATATTAAGTATTTATTAGATTCTGAATTATGTAATAAAGTGATTGCTTGTACGCAGCCTCGTCGAGTAGCTGCCATTACTGTTGCAAGGCGAGTTGCCAAAGAGAGGGGTTCTAGATTTATTCCTTTATATTAAAACTTGAAAAATAAATTAATTTAGAATTTTTTTTATTACAAATATAAAAGGAGTCCGACTGGGTATGGAAGTAGGCTATACTGTTAGATTTCAAGATGTTTCATCTTCCAAAACTCGTATAAAATACTTAACCGATGGGATGTTGCTAAGAGAAGCGGTGGCCAATCCTTTGCTAAAGTGTTTGCATTATTTTTGCTTATTATATAATATTATATATTTTTATCAGAATAATAATATAGTTTACTTTTTTATAAGTGTGTGCTATTATTTATCATTATCTCTTTGACTTTTGTACTACAGAAAATATGAGGTTATTATATTAGATGAAGCGCACGAACGAACTCTTCATACTGATGTATTATTTTCTATTGTAAAGGATCTCCAAACTAAACGAGAAGATTTGAAAGTTTTAATTTCTATTATATCTTTTACAACTTTTTTATTATTAATTACTTATGAGGTTATCATTATGTCAGCCACTTTAGATGTATCTAAATTTTCTAAATATTTTAATAATTGTGAAACTTTGCATGTTTCAGGAAGGCAATATCCCGTTGAGGTCTTAATAATTTTTATTCGTAATCTTCGAGCAAATTTATAATAATTGTACTTATTTTTTAAATTCTTAAAATCTCCTATATGAAATGTTAATTTTTTATAACTTCTATATAATTTTTTTCTTAAGCTTTTTAAACGGCTAAAATACTCTTAATAGTGTATATGCTAATTTAAATTTTTTAACATCTGTGTTATATATTACAATTTTATTAATGCTTTGTTTTGTATATTTCTTAACTTTTTCCTGTTTTTTCTGATCATTTTTAAGTCTTCCATACTTATTTTTAGTAGAAGAAAAAATCTTAAAAATAAATTCTATAAATTTTAATCTAGTTTGATTCTATAAGTAATAACTTTAAATACAAGTTTAATTTTATTAATAATTTAATAATTATACTTTAATTTTTTAAAATAATTAATAGAGAAGAAGAAACTTTTTTTTGAAATTTAATAATATTTTTCTGACTTAAAGAATTTAACACTAATTTTATTTTTGAAATTTAAATTAATTTAAATTAATTTCTTTAACTTTTAATTTTTTTGTTATTATTTTTACTTTTATTAGATTTTATACTGCAAGGAGCCGGAAAATGATTACGTTGATGCCACGCTTATCACCGTTTTGCAGATTCACTTAGAAGAGCTGCCTGGGGACATTCTCTGCTTTCTTACTGGTTGATTAGCCTTCATTATTTTTTTTATTCAGATATTAATTTTTTATAAGTTCAATGATTTTCTTTATTTTTTTCTTCCACAGACCAAATGCCCGGTTTTTTATTTAGAAAGATGCACAATTTTTTAAATGATAATTTTTACAAATAGTAACAAAAAGAGATTTGGAATGGGCTATGAAAACTTTATTTTTTTTAATGGATAGTTAAGAATAATAACATTTGATAGAAGTATATTACTTCAAAGAAAGCATGAAAAATATATTGAAAAACTTAATATAAACGATAGTAAAGTTTTTTAACACTAGAAAGTTAAATAAGAAATACTAATAATAATAAAATAAAATAATAGAAAAGTTTTTTGTATTTAGTATGAAAAGAATAATAAATAAATAAAAGAATATTTTTATTAATAAATTTTTATTATACTGAAACACCTGAATATTTTTATATTTGAAACTGAAATGTTATAAAGTAAAATGTTTATAATAATAATAATAAAAAGAAAATAAAGTTGTTAAGTATATTATTAAATTATTTTTGTTATTTAATAACTTAACTTTTTTCTTTAATTTTTTATTATTATAAAAATTAATGATATTTTATTTAAAATTTTTTTTTATAATAAATATTATTATTATAAAGAGTTAAACTTTAATATTTTTATATTTAAAAAAAAAAGTTATTTCATTTATTAATAATTTTATCTATATAAAATAATAATAAATAAAATAAATAACGAGTATTTTATTATTTATATTAATTTTAACAAATAGAAATAATATAATGAATTTATTTATTATTAATAAATTTTTTAATTACTTTTTCGTTTTTTAGTAGTAATAAAAATAATAATATTTATATAATATTTTTAATAATAGCTTGAATTATTTTTAAATTTTACATAGTAAGAATAAATATATTATTATAGTAAGTTAAGAAACATCAAAACTTATGTTTATACTTAAAAAATAGAATGTTACTGAGATTTATTTAGTAAACTTATTTTATTTGCTTAATAATTTTGAATATAAAGTAATAAAACTTGAATATTATATAAATATTTATTATAAAAACGTTTCATATAATAATTCAAGTTAAATATTTTAAACTAAAAAAAAATATTTTTATGCAATTTATAATAACAATAAATTAATTGAAATAGTTTTATCATTAAATATATTTTAGAAAGTTTATATATTATTCTTTTATACAAATAATTTTATGAAAGGAAAATTATCCAATTATTATCAGTGTATTATAATGATTTTTATATTGGATTAATAAAAATGAGCGTCTCGAATAGTAATTTTTATCATATTATAAATAATACTTTTTTTTTTTCAAGTATAAGAATTTTTTATTTACTTGAAAATATATTATTTAAAGTATTATCCAATTGTAATCAGTATAACTTTTATTATCATTTTTCTTATTTTTTATAATATAGGAATTAAAATATATTGAAAATTATTTACTTGCTATTAATATATTTTATAATATATAAACGTAAATAATATATGCTCTTAACAAATAAATATTATAGTAAAGAAAACTTGATAAACTTTTACTATAAATAAATATGTAATGTTTTTTTTAAATAATAGTGAGAGTTAATTATAAATATTTGTTTATTTTTTTATTAAAAAATTAGCCAATCATTATTAGTATATTTGAAAATCCTTTTTTTAACTTTATTATTTTGGCTTATATTAAAGGACAAGAAGAAATCGAAGCCGTCCTTCAAAGTTTAGAAGAGAAAATATTGTATTTGCCTGAATCCGGTTAGTTTTAGTATAAAAAAGTTATATTTTTTCATTTAACTATTATTATATTAAACATTATAATAAAATTAATAAGTAAATTAGCTTTTTTTACTATGCAGGCTTATAAAAACTTTAGTTAAACTTTTTATTACTAGCATTTTGTAATATTTATTGAAAAAAGCTTTTACAATTAATTATATCGTATAATGCAAAGCCCTATATATATTTTTATTAAACATCACAGTATATAAAACTGTATGTACAAAGAAAAATAATGAAAATAGTACAAAAGTTTATTTAACTTTTTTGTGATAATTATTTTTATATAAAAACTTTTAAGGATGATTATTACTAGTGCGAGTTGTTTGTTTTTTTTTCTTGTTTACTTTTAGAAGTTTAATTTTTTATAAATCTTACCATCTTAAACGTTTTAATAAATATTTTAAATACGTCTAATTTTATATAAAATTTATAGTGAAAGGTTATATAAAGAAAGTTACATAATCATTTTACTATAAAATATATATAAATTAATATTATTTGCATTTTTTTTACTTGTTTAATTGTTTGTAAAAATATTTTTATTTAACTTTTGTTTAGCTTTTTTTATATGCATATCATATTTTGTTATTACTATTTATTAATAAACTTTATTAGTAAATAATAATTTATAATTGTATTAATTAGTATTAAAAAATTTACTGAATTTTAATGGTAATTTTTACTTGTTTTGTGGATTTTTTTATTTCACTGTTAATTGTGATTTCTTTGCTTTTAGCCATTTTCTAAAAGTATTATAACTGTTGTTGTGGTTATTTTTCGAAATACTTTATTATTGGTTCACGTGAATTGTTTTTTAGCGTTGAGTGTAGCGTTTGTAATAAAAATAATTTTTAATTTTTTGATTGGTTGGTAGATTATTTTTATTTAATTTTGTTTGATACATTAATTCTGTTGATTCGTTTATAATAATTATTATAAATTGGACTTTGTAAAACTTGAATAACAGAATTTAGTGAATAAATAATTTATATGTTTTTAATATTTATATTAAATTTTTGCACTAAATCTACTGAATATAACAAGAAACTTCATTAAAATAATTTTTTTTATAATTTTATTAAAATCAAACTTTTTATTGACCTTTATAAAAAATTTATATAAAATAAAGTAACTTTTTATTTTATTTTTTCAACATGCATTTTTTGTTAATTATATGTGAAACATATTTATTACATTATTTTTTTTTCCCTTTTTTGTTATTTTTACTATTCGTTTTGCGTAATTTTTTCATTATATTTATTGCTACTGAAATTTTTATGAATTTATTAGTTCTATTTTTAATTTTTTTTAATATTATTAATATTAATGTAAGCACTTTATAAGTAGTTTTGCATCAGTTAAATGATTTTTGTTTTTTTTTTATTCAGAGAATATTAAGAAAATTTTTTTTAGGAAATTTTTTTGTACGAATTAAAATTTTTTTTTTTATAGTACTCTTTAATGAAAGGATTTTTATATTGTAGTATTTTGTAAGATATAAATATTTCCAGCTCAAAAGTTTTAACGAAAGACTTTTTATGAAATAATATTTATATTTTTTCTGTTGAGTATTTTATAAAATATTCTTATATTTTAGTAATTTTTTATAAAATGGATGTTTTGGAATTTTTTTAAATATTAGATATTTTCAGCTCAAATTATAATGGAAGTTTTTTACTTTTTATAGTTATATCATGAAATAATTCTTATTGATTGCGCTCAAAATTTACCGAAATGAAAATTTTTCATTAATAAATTTGTAGTTAAATTTTCATTAAATTTACTGATTATTTTCTATATTTTCGTAATTTTACTTAATTATATTAACTCCAATAATTTTTTAATGGTTTCTTTTAACAACATATTTTGACCTAATCGTCTCTTTGAAACTTCTTATACTTTATTGTTTGATTACTAACTTCACTAATTTTAATGAAACTAATTTTTATATTACTAAATATACTATTATTGGTTTTTCTATTTAATATAATTATTTATTTGATTTTTGAATTTATATAACTTTTATTATATTTTTAGCTCTAAATTTACTATTTTTGATTATGAAATAGTTAATGAAGAGTTTTTTTTGCTTGTGGTACTAACCCCTGATTGGTTTTTTTTAAAAGTTATATTAATTTTAGTGATAAGCTTTACTACGTTCACTACAGTTATTGTATATTACTTTTATAAAAAATATTTTTTTATAACCTAAATATTTTTAGTTAATATATTATTTACTTACATTTAGCAACGCCCAGCCATTGACTGCTTTTGTTCACTAAATTTTATGTTTTGTTAACTATTAAATTATTTATAATAATAATTTTTTAATGTTTCTTTTTAAATTTTGTAATATTTATTATTTTTTTTCGGAAGTTTTATTATTTTTATAAGCTTTCTCTTGGTTTGATCATAATATTGTCTATTTTTATTTATTTTTAACTGTTTTTAAGGATACAAATAATTTTTTTTGCTTATGTTGTTCGTTATAATAACTTTTCCCTTTAATTATTTTTATGCACTAATATTTTTTTATTATTATTGTTATATTTATCGTATTGTTAGCGCTATCTTTTTAAGTACACTTGTTTTTTTACGGCATTATTCCATATATTTAATGAAAATTAGTTGTTTCTATTTTATTTTTTAATTTCATTGAATATTATGATAATTTTATTATAGTCATAATATTTTATTTTTTTTTGTTTTATGCATTTTTTAACGTTCTTAAATTAGTAGAAATATTTATTAGTCAATTATTTAATTTTTTTATTTTATAAAATTTTTTTAACTTTATTTAAATGATTAATAATATTATTGTATTCATAAAGTTTTATTTTTTTATTTTATAAATTTTTTAAACTTTATTATATTAATTTAAAATATTTATTAGTCATTATATTACATTTTTTAATATAATTATTTTTTAGGGTTCATTAAATTAATGAAAATATTTATTACATATTTAATATTTTTTATTTAGGATTTATTGAAAGTATTGAAGATATTTAGTAATCATTATATAATTTATTTATTTAATAATATTTAGCGCTTTACTGAATTTATTTTAGAAATTTTTAATATACATAAAATTTAATGAAAATTTATTTACTCGATTTTTTTAAGTTTATTGAATTTAATGAATATACTTATAATCTATTATATCGAATTTTTTTATTCTATTTTTTAACTTTATTAAACTAAATGGTATTTTAGTCATAAAACATTTTATTATTAATTTTTTTTAATTTCATTGAACTAATTGATAAAATTTCTTTAGTCTTGAATATAATTTTTTATGTTACAACTTTATTGACAATATTTAAAAGTTGATCCGTTTTATATAAATTTAATTTGAATTTTGTTAAAATTAATGAAATTATTTATTAGTCGTTGAGTTGCATTATTATATTTAATTATTTTTTCAACTTCACTAATTTGATGATAATATTATTTTATTATTTAATCAATTTTTATTAATTCACTAAATCTAATGAAATATTACTTTGGTCATCATCTTACATTTTGTTAATTAAATATTTTTTTAACTTCACTAAATTTAATGAAAATAATATTTTTAGTCATATAATATTTTTTTAATATTAATTTTTTTATAAATGCATTAAACTAATTGAAAATATTATATTGGCATTATATTAGTTTAAATTATTTCAACTTCACTAATTTAGTGAACATATTATTTAAGTTATTCTTTGCTATTTTTTTTATTAGTATTATTTTCGACTTCATCAAATTAATTGAAAATATTATAATGGCGAATCATTATTTTAATTTAAATATTCTTTTAACTTCACTAATTAAAGTATTTTATAATAAAGTTAAACTTAAAATTAGCAAAATATATATTAAATTAAAGTGATATAAGGAAGAAGAATAAAAATTCTCATTAAAATAACTTACCAAAGTTATATAAAAAATTTTGTATTTTTTAAATTATTTATGAAAAAGAATACAATTAAAATAGTTAAAGAGAAGGTTTATTAGTAAAAATGCTTTTTATACTACTTTAATAAAGTAATATAATAAATTAAATATTGTATATTTTATATAAATAATAATAATTAAGTAAATTAACAAGTATATTTAATTTTTTTTTATAATTATTTAGCCATGAAGATGTTGGTTTTACCGCTTTATGCTGCGTTACCGGGAGAAGCTCAAATGAAAGTCTTTCTTTTTTTCTCTTTATATTATTATTATGAAGGAAAAGTTTACGTGACTGCCTTTTATTATCATCTTTTTTATGTAGTGTTGTGTTTTGCATATTTTTTATATTATAGTAAAAACTTAAAAGTATGGTTGATACGAAAATATAATGTTTTATTATCATGACATATAGAAAGAAAATATTGACCTACCTTTTTTTCATTAGCCTTTTTATATATATTGTTGTACTTTACTATTTTTTTTTATATAATAATGAATACTAAAAGTTTATATAATGAGGAAATACTTTATATTAGATGACAATAATTATAATTATACTACTAATAATAATTAAATTATGTCAGGTGTTTGAACGAACTCCTAGTAATTATAGAAAAGTTATTTTGGCCACTAATATTGCAGAAACTTCGATAACCATAAACGGAATAAGCTATGTAGTCGACTGCGGATTGGTCAAAGTCAGGTAGTTAATAATATTATTAAAATATAATGAGGTAGAGTGGATAAATTAGTAATAGTAGTAAAAATAGTAATAATAATAATAATAATAATAATAATAATAATAACAATAATAATAATAATAATAATAATAATAATAATAATAATAATAATAATAATAATAATAATAACCTTTTTTTTATGTATAAGAAAGTTTAACCCAAAGTCTGGTATCGAAGCTCTTTGCATTGAGCCCATTTCAAAAGCCCAAGTAATATAATTATACCGTTATTTTCATTATTATTATATCATTATTACTATTTTATTATAATTATATTGTTATATTATTATTAAT